TGATGGACATGAATTTGAGAAAGCTCTTGGAGATGGTGATGGACAGGGAAGCCTTGTGTGCTGCAGTCCATGGGGTCACAAAGAGTCAGACACAACTGAGCAGCTGAGTTGAACTGAATTGAACTGAACTCTGCATGTAAGTTAGATAAGCAGGGTGACAATAGATAACCTTGACGTACTTCTTTCCCAATTTGGAATCAATCCATTGTTCCATGTCTGGTTCTAACTGTTGCTTCTTGACCTGCATACAGATTTCTCAGGAGGCAGATAAGGTGGTCTGGTATTCCAGTTCCAGTTTGTTGTGATCCACACAGTCAAAACCTTTAGCATAGTCAGTGAAGTATATGTTTTTCTTAGTTATAGTATATCACAATTTAACTATCCATTTTCCTGTTTACCTATGAGATATTTCTGGGGTTTAGGTGTTATGATATTACTTGAAATGCTTATATACCATCTCCTGGTGCATTCATGTAAAGATTTCTCCAGGGCATATATTTATAAGTGAAATTGTTAGGTTATAAGTTATACACATTTCTAACTTTACTGGATATTGCTGAATCTGTTTCAAAATAGTTCCTGTCATTGTCTCAAGGTGGCTGCAGCAGCTCCAGACATCACATCCAAACACAACAACAGTCAAAAGAAAAGACCCAGTCGTTTTGGATTCTTCTTCTTAGAGATGAGAGAACCGTTCTCAGAGACATTACAACAGACTTTGCTTTAAATCTAATAAACTGAGATTGTCATATTCCTGTCTCTAAACCAAGCATTGGGAAATAGAACCCATTAAGCTTCATCTTCTTCTCCTTCTTTAAGATTTATTTATTTTTTTGTTTATCTTTGGCTGCGCTGGGTCTCCGTTGCTTTGTGCAGGCTTTCTCTAGTTGTAGAGAGTAGGGGCTACTCTCTAGTTGATGGTGCACAGGCTTCTCATTGCAGTAGCTTCTCTTGTTGCAGAGCACAGGCTCTAGCGTGTTCAGGCTTCAGTAGTTGCAGTGAGTGGGCTCAATAGCTGTGGCTCTTGGGCTTAGTTGCTCTGTCGTATGTGGGATCTTCCAGGACTAGGTATTGAACCCAAGTCCCTGAATCGGTAGGTGGGTTCTTAACCACTAACCCATCAGGGACACCCAGATCAAAGTGTCTTAACTTCTGCATTATTATTGATGTTTGGAGCCAGGTACCTTTGTTGTGAGCAGCTGTTCTGTGCTTTGTAGAAGGTTTGCAGCATCCCTGTCTTCTATGAACCAGATGCCAGTAATACCTTCTCAGATGCCACAACAAAACTGTGGTCAAAATACTGCTGGATATCATCCAGGATGAGGGGAGGGATGAATAAAATAGCCTCTGGTTGAGAACCACCAGCTTAGACTTGGAGTGGAAGAGACAGAGGGAATTCAGCCACCATGACCACCGTGACTCCAAGCAAGGGTCAGGGCAACAAGCATGTGAGTCTCCCAGAATCATGTGTGAAGTGTCTCCATGCAGAACACTGCTGTTTCTATTACAGGCTTCTTCCCAGGAGATGCTGGACTGATAGGAGTTTCTGCTGTCAGCCTGGCAGAGGATTCAGTCCAGAGTCTGGAGTGAGGCAGAAGGTACCTATGAACAGGAAACAAACTCAGTTGTGCAGAGAGGAGAGCTGTCAGGACAGGAGCCAATCATGTCATTACTGTGGGGGTTTGGTTTCATTTCTACGTCAAAATGTCACTGAAAACATGATTCTAGTTTCCCTTTCGCTCCCTGACTCTTTTAAAATCTCTTGCAAGGGCCTTAAAAACATTGTTGGATATTGAAACAAGATGTGCCTGGTTTATTTTTTTTCCCACTCAATGTATAGATAGCATGGACTAATGTTCAGTCTTCTGTTTCAGTGACAGTGACATGCTGTTCCTAAGGGGTGACAGAGTTGCAGCAGCTTTCTCTGCAGTTATAGAACCCTTATTTCAGGATCTCTCCACTCTCACAAGCTCTTTTGTCTTAAGCTGAAGAAAGTTCATCCTAGGAACTATTGCAGCAATAGCTTCCACCCCCTCAGTGTTCTCTGAAGCTCATGATAAAGTTAGGACATCTTTGACATACGTGAAATTGTTCTGTCTACAGTTGGAGATGAGAAACTAGCATTCATATATTTTTCAAATGTGATCAACTGCAGGACTTACTTCTAATGTACCCACTTTACAGATGAGAAAACTGAGGCACAGAGATGTTAAATGAATTGGACCTCTTAGTGTCAGTAATCCTCAGGGCAGGGGCATAAGATTCAGAAACTAAGCAGGTGGAAGGAGAGACAGGTGGTTCCTGCTGAGTCACTGGAGACATTGGTTGGACCAGAGATGTGACTATTCGGAATCCAGCCCCTGGGGAAGTGACCTACAAGTGGACTTGAATTCAGACTTCTCACCTAAAAGCCTTTTTCTTTCTTTTACTGAGAAATACTTTTTTTTTTAAAAATTAATTTTTATTGAAGGAAAGTTGCTTTACAATGTTCTGTTTCTGCTGAATAGCAAAATGACTCTGCTATAAGTATACATGTATCCCCTCTTTTTTGGATTTCCTTTCATTTAGGTCACCACAGAGCATTGAGTAGAGTTCCCTGTGCTGTACAGTAGGTTCTCATTAGTTACCTACTAATATTTTACACATAGTATCAATAGTTTACATATGTCAATACCAATCTCCCAATTCACCCAACTCCTTCCCCTCTTGGTGTCCATATGTTTGTTCTCAATGCCTGTGTCTCTATTTCTGTTTTGCAAATAATATCATCTCTACCATTTTTCTAGATTCCACATATGTGAGTCAATATATGATATTTGTTTTTCTCTTCCTGACTTACTTTCACTCTGCATGACAATCTCTAGGTTCATCCATGTATCAAAAAATAAGCCAATTTTGTTCCTTTCGAGGCTGAATAGTATTCCGTTATATATACATGTACCACAGCTTCTTTAACAGCCTTTTTCATTACTCCTAGTTGCCACCTCACCACCCCATTGATTTTTACTACTTCTGTCACATTTTCCTCCACCACAGTCCTGGTGGCCAAGAGAAGAAGCACAGGCAGCTATGGTATCTTCCCTGTGGCCCAAGAACGCCTTAGAATAGGAGACCAGAGAGCCTCTTTACCTTCTGTCTTCTTCAAGGACAGCTATCTTGGGAAAAGTAAGAAGCTCTTGGAAGAAGTAAGAAGCTCATCAGTAAGATGTTGAGTCTTTCTCAATATCCAGGTCTTTTCCTTATCTACAAAGAAGTTTCAGCCTGCTCAGGATTTGTAAAGAAAACGCTCCCACCAGCATCTTCCAGGCTCCTGAGAGAGTCTATGACACTAAAATCACAGGAGCAAATAGTAGAAGGAATACTTCCATCCTGCCCAGCTCTAAAACCGCCTTTTGTGTCTCCTATAAATATATTCATTCTATTCATTGGACAGCCATGGAAACCAATAGCAAAAGCACTTTTAATAAGTTTCCTAACTCAAAAAGCTTAATCACATTTTGGCAGCTTTTCCACAGGACACCAAAGCAAAAACTCTGTCCTCTCCTGCTTGCCACTCAGCTCTGGGTATTAGGCACGTTTTTCATATAACATCACAGGAGTTAAGGAAGGAGAAACTGTCAGCTTCCTGACCCACAGTTGGCTCTGCTTCCCCTCTTTGTGCAAACTAGACCTCTTCTGTGAATCAATATCTTCCTTTGAATTTGCAAAGGAGGGAGAGGACCTGTGAAGTGTAATTCATGAATAAAATGTTGGAGGCGGGGTGGAGGGTGGGGAGGGAAATAGCACCTGCCTGAAAGTTGGAGGGATGCTGGGGGTGAGGTGAGCAGAGCAAGGTTTGAGCAGAGGGAAGCGAGGAAGCCCTCAGAAGGTGCAGGAATCAGAACGGACCTGCAGCAGACGGAGATCAAGATGGCCCAACTTATCCATGCTGAGGGCTAAGAGCTGAAGGATGCCTGGGATGGGGGACAGGACAGGGTGCTAGACCAGGAAGTGGTCTGTGCTGGGGCCAGTATGAGGAAAGCAGGAGAGACTCCATCTTGAAGCCTGTCACCCGTCTTAAAGACAGGATGTGAACTGGACCTGAACCCTGCCCAAGAGTGAGGAAACCGTAGCTAGTGAAAACCAGGTCTCCTGGAGACTTCCCTCCCTACAGATGACAAAGGGAGATTGTAGTTGAGGCCAGGCTGCCCCTGTTAGATTAACCATGGAGACATGCCCCCAGGATGTATAATCATCATCCTCCCCCTAACCCCCGCCTTTAACCTTAATTATTTGTTCTCCTAGCACCTATTTGTTATAAAACTCAGTCAGATACAACAGAGGTTGCTGATGATAGCCTATGGTGAATGATGTCAGATTCGTGATCTCCGAAGAAGATTTAGCTCCGGGACCAGGGACCAGGCTTGATCACTCAAGAGCTTTTGTGTAGCTGAGTTTTATTAAAGTAAGAAAAGGCCTAGAGAAAGCTTCTGACATAGACATCAGAAGGGAGATGGAGACTGCCCCTCTTGCTAGTATTAGCAAGGGAGTTATACACATTTTTAATTAGTTATTATAATAAATCAGAAGAACATCTTGAGGTTGTAAAGATCTTACTAGACTCACTCCCATAATTTACATTTTAAGATAATAGCTTTGGCCACAAGGTTTTTCAGGAAGGAGAAACTGTCCTCAAGCAGGATACATTGTTGTTATATAATCCTTAGTATGGAGTTTAAACTGAATTGTTTGTTGTGTAATCATCAGTTTGGGGCTTAAAGAAAAAAACGTTTCATGTGACTAAGACTAAGGAATGTAGAGAAGAAAAGATGTTTGTCCTTTCCTCCTCCTTGAGAATTCTAGACCCTTATCTCCTACTCTGCTTCTGTTAAGTCCGTACCATTTCTGTCCTTTATCAAACCCATCTTTCCATGAAATGTTCCCTTGGTATCTCTAATTTTCTTGAAGAGATCTCTAGTCTTTCCCATTCTATTGTTTTCCTCTATTTCTTTGCACTGAGCGCTGAGGTAGGCTTTCTTATCTCTCCTTGCTTTTCTTTGGAACTCTGCATTCAAATTGGTATATCTTTCCTTTTCTCCTTTGCTTTTTCACTTCTCTTCTTTACACAGCTATTTATAAGGCCTCCTCAGACAGCCATTTTGCTTTTTTGCATTTCTTTTTCTTGGGGATGGTCTTGATCCCTGTCTCCTGTACAGTGTCACGAACCTCCATCCATAGTTCATCAGGCACTCTATCAGATCAGTCCCTTAAATCTATTTGTCACTTCCACTGTATAATCATAAGGGATTTCACTTAGATCATACCTGAATGGTCTAGTAGTTTTCCCTACTTTCTTCAATTTAAGTCTGAATTTGGCAATAAGGAGTTCATGATCTGAGCCACAGTCAGTCCTCGGTCTTGTTTTTGCTGACTGTATAGAGCTTCTCCATCTTTGGCTGCAAAGAATATAATCAATCTGATTCCTGTTGCTATGAAGCTAACTGCATAAGCTATCAGAATGTTTAATAGAAGGACTTGATTTTATCTGGGAATTGAAAGAAGACATCCTAGAAGTAGAGTTCAGATCTGTGAAGAATCAGGCTTACTAGTGATAAGGGGGTGGACCAAGGTGATAGGTAAAAAGAACAGCATGTGGCAATCCAAGGCTTTGAGGCAGAAGACTGAAGAATGCCTTTGAGGGGCTGAAAGCCTATGACAGACAGGGGAAAGTGGGACTTGTTCATCCTGATCCATTGAAATCATTAGGAAGTTTAGTTTAGATTTATGGTATTGTTTATTTTAAATAGGTATTTTGTATATTTTAAAATTAGTGTCTATATTTTTAAATGCCATTTAAGCCTGCAAATATCTTTTGCTTTACTGGAGTCTATGCTTAGTTTTGTCATATCACTTATTTTTTTATTTAATGGATTTGATTTTGGGGTTTTAGAGGAGAAACTTGAGTAATTTTAGAATGTTTTGAGTCCTTAGGTATCAGAAAATGGTTTTATCTTTTGCTTTCTCTTCAATAATATAATTATTTTACTTGGGAACATTGACTACATGACTCCCTTGTGATTTTTACATCTAGTGTATGTGCAAGAATGCTGATGCCATCCCTATTCTTGTTATTTTATAGTTCTCTACTACTACTTCAGTTTCTAGGTGGTTCTCTTCAAATCCTTTGGAAAAGTCAGTAGGATGCTTATTAGGTGGTTATTTGAAATCTTTAACTCTGTCCTTCATAAAGGTCTTACCATTTCCTGCATGCTTCTTATCTATACTTTTTTGCTTTGTTCTGAGAATTCCTTGGCTCCTTTTCTCCGATTTTTAGATTCCATCCATGTCTATTATGCTCTTGTTAAGGCTTTATTCATTAGAGCTTTATTTGGGCAGTCATATTTTGGGTTTTTCTAAGAATTTTTCATATCAGCATCTTTTGTAATCTTTTATTGATTTTTACATTCTTAAATTTCTCTGAGGATATATATTACATTTATCTGAGAAAACATATTTTTAAATTTTACATTATTTTCCAAAATTTGATCCTCTGAAAAAGCTAATAACATGAAAAAGAGGGCAGTAGTTTCAGCAAATATTTGGTATTTATGTTTTTAGAATTTTGAGATTAATAGATATTGGTAGCTAGATGTATTCATTGCTCAGTGGAATATCTCTAGAAATTTCTTACTCTTCAAATCTGTTAACAGGTTTCCTAGATTGCTAATATTGTTATGGATTATATTGCTATCTTTTCTTCATTTTACTGGGATTTAAAGAGGAAAAAGAATTGTGTATATTTAGCTAGCCACTTGAAACTAGTCTGTTGGTCAGTGAGTAGAGCACAAGAATAGGTAATCTAAAAAAAAAAAAAATAGGTAAACTATTATTCCATTAAAGCCATGAAGAAAAAGAAAACGGAGTTATATAAGAAAATGAGTAGCCTTTGAAGTTAGATTGCTAAATCCACATTTTGACCATACCACTTATTTACCATCTCCCCTTAGGCAACCTTCTCTGTGCCTGTTTTTTGAGGGTTTTTTAAGTTTTCTTGAGCGAAGGGGTGTTTGTTTTGGTTGTTTTCGCTAAAATGAAAACAATAATAGAACCTACCTTTTAGAGTTGTTGCGAGAAATAAATTAATCCACATAAAGCACTTAAAACAATGTGTGGCATAAACTATAATTGTTAGCTGCCATCATCATCATCAGGACATTTTGAAATTGTAAAGGAACAAGCTGAATTATTTGGCCATAGCCTACTTGGAATACATAATTCATACTGGGAAATAATAGGTGACGTGTTGAAAAAGTCAGTTGGAATCAGATCCTAAATGTCTTGAGTTCCAGGCTGAGAAGTAGCTAATACTGAGGAGGAAACAAACTCAGAAAAGTTACACAGCAAACCCTAAATTGCCGAAGGAAAAGGGTCTACAAATTGAACTCCTTTCTGTATTTCTTTCTAATCCATAGGGCTTCTCGATGAAGGTACTGTATATAGGGAGATTATTTCAGTAATACTCATAAGACCTAAATATAAGTGTGGCAGCAGGAAATGGCAAGAAAGGGACAAGTTCCAAAAATGAATGGAATGGAAAAAAATGGTCTTTCCTTTCTAGCTCTAACATGAGTGTGTTGACCTTTTTACCCTTGTTAAGGTTTAGAAATGAAATCTTTTCATCATATGGTCACTTTTTATTTCAGCATTTGTAAAATGTGCTCTTCTCTTCTTTGTCTTTCTGCAGGTTTTAGATGGAGCAGGATTAGATATTGATTTCCATCTTGCTTCTCCAGAAGGAAAAACCTTAGTTTTTGAACAAAGAAAATCAGATGGAGTTCACACGTAAGTAATCTCTTAGTTGGGTTCCATGATCTGAATACCAGTAGGAACAGGGAAATTCAGCATATTTGATACTAAGTATTAGCATTAAATGATTCCATATGAACATTTTAAATAGTCCTTTTCGGTGATCTGTCTTAAACTAAAATATCATCAGTTTATCTTTTATCTTTTTGTTTAGGCATTTTCTTTTGATCGTGACTGAGTTTTTGCTTTGCTTTGATTAATGAGATGAGTATTCCACAGGTACTGCATTCAGTCTACTGAGGCATTTTAAAAACTGCCTTTCTGGCCACCACAGGCTTTTTCTGTTATGTTACTATTCCAGGTATATATCTTAAACTTCTGGCTATATCATTTTTGCCAGTAGTTTTCTTAAAACAACAGTACAGTGATACATCTTTGCATGTGTGTGTGTGTGTGTGTGTGTAAATCTTTATTTTCTTCAAATGTCACTCTTTTTAGATAATTAGAAGACCTGAAAGTAACAGATCTGACCACAGGAAACCCTATAGAAAATGCTTTTTATAATTTTATACTGAAATAAAATATAAAAGTTTAGAATTTGATAAAAGGCCATATATTGTATCTCATTTCTCTTTTTTCATCTCACCAGTGTTTCCGTTTCATTGTATTATTTTACTGTAGCACTTTGTTTACTCAGTATTGTTACTGTGTTTAAACTGTGAGTATTAAAAAAAAATAAAATAAACTGTGAGCATATAGGAATAAGAAAATCAAATATGGAGTGTCCAATATTTGCCATAAACTAGACTTTTCATTTTATATGCTTCTAAATTAATCATTCCAACCCACTGTGAGAGACAGATTCTTTGATTCTCCAATTCCCATTTTACAGACCAGGAGGCTTAGAGAAGTTAAATAAGACTGCAGGGATATACATTTATTAGGAGGAAGCAGAATGAACCAAAATTTTTGCTTCTACTATACAATGCTTAGAACATCTCTAGCACATAGCACTATGTAAGCACTAGCTATTTATAATCACTGGTCTTTGTTAACCAAAGTACCTGGCATATAATTGATACTCAGTAAATATGAATACATGTATGAGTGAACGAGGTGGGAAAATGTCTCAACCATACTCTTCTAAGATACTCATTTTAGTGTGCTTTCGAAAATGCCATTTTACCTATGCAGAGTTCTAAAAAAAAGCTGCATAAATTACTGATAAATAAAATCAGAAGTGGTAACTTTAAGTCAGTTAAGGTGGCTATAGCAGAATTAACTATGCTTTCTCTTTGATAGGTATATGAACAAGAACCAAAAATGAAGTTCATCTTTAAATTTCAGAATATAGAAAATGTATGAATTTCTGTCAATATTAATTACTCTCCCATTTTCTGCTTTCATTTAGAGATTGGGGGGGAAAGGTATTTACTGCTTTCTTAAAAAGAATTGTTGTTCACTCACTAAGTTGTGTCCAACTCTTTATGACCAGGCTCCTCTGTCCTCTACTATCTCGCAGAGTTTGCTCAGATTCATGGCCATTGAGTCAATGATGCCATCTAACCGTCTCATCCTCTGCTGCTCCCTTCTTTTGCCTTCAATCTTTCCCAGCATCAGGGTCTTTTCCAGTGAGTCAGCTTTTCACATCAGGTGGCCAAAGTATTGGAGCTTCAGCATCAGTCCTTCCAATCAGTTTTCACGGTTTATTTCCTTTAGGATTGACTGGTTTGAGCTCCTTGCAGTCCAGGGGACTCTCAAGAGTCTTCTCCAGCACCACAGTTTGAAAGCATCAATTCTTTGACACTCAAGCCTTCATTATGGTACAGCTCTCACATCCGTACAGGACTACTGGAAAAACCATAGCTTTGACTATACAAACCTTTGTTAGCAAAGTGATGTCTCTGCTTTTTAATATGCTGTCTAGGTTTGTCATAGCTTTCCTTCCAAGAAGCAAGTGTATTTTAATTTCATGGCTGCAGTTACCATTTGCAGTGCTTTTGGAGCCAACAGTTAAAATCTGTCACTGTTTCTTTCCAACTTTTTCCCTATCTCTTTGCCATGAAGTAATCGCCTGGATGCCATGATCTTAGTTTTATGAAAACAGAGTTTTAAGCCAGCTTTTTCACTCTCCTCTTTCACCTTCATCAAGAGACTGTTTAGTTCCTCTTCACTTTGTTTCATCTGAAGAGTGGTTATCATCTGCATATCTGAAGTTTATATTTCTCTTGGCAATCTTGATTCCAGCTTTGTGATTCATCCAGCCTGGCATTTTACATGATGTACTCTGCTTAAAAGTTAAATAAGCAGGGTGACAATATATAGTCTTGTCATACTCCTTTCCCAATATTGAACCCATCACTTGTTCTGTGTCTGGTTCTAACTATTGTTTCTTGACTCACATACAAGTTTCTCAGGAGACTGGTAAGGTGGTCTGATACTCCTAGCTCTTTAAGAAATTTCCACAGTTTTGTTGTGATCCATACAAAGGCTTTAGCGTAGTCAATGAAGCAGAAGCAGATGTTTTTCTGTAATTCTCTTGATATCTCTATGATCCAACAATATTAGCAATTTGATCTCTGGTTCCTCTGCCTCTTTGAAACCCAGCTTGTACATCTGGAATTTCTCAGTTCACATACTGCTGAAGCCTAGCTTGAAGGATTTTGAGCATAAATTTACTGGCATGTAAAATGAGTGCAACTGTACAGTAGTTTGGCATTGCCCTCTAAATTGGAATGAAAAAACTGACCTTTTTCAGTCATGTGGCCCCTGCTGAGTTTTCCAAGTTTGCTGACATACTGAGTGCAGCACTTTAACAACATCATCTTTTAGGATTTTAAATAGCTCAGGTGAAATTTTATCACCTCCACTAACTTTGTAGTAATGATTCCTAGGGCCCACTTGACTTCACACTGCAGCATGTCTGGCTCTAGGTGAGTGACCACATAAAATTGTCTCTCATTAAACAACTGGGGAAAAAGAATGAGTTTATAAGTGTTCTTTTGATATGCCAGGTCACTGTTCTAAGCACTTTACATGTATTAATTTTTTTTTATTCTTCCCTATAGTCCTTACTATCATCTTAGCAATGAAGGAATTGAGGCATAGAGCAGTTAAGTAAATTGCTGCAGGTTACACAGCTAATGAACAGCAAAGCCAGGATTTAAAACAAGTCAGCCACTCACTCTTAATCACTATACCAAATTTACAAATCTACTTTCTAAAAGCTAAAGTGAAAATTTCATCTTTAGCTATATTAACTTTTCAAAAAATTAGTTAATTTTTGGTTGTACTGGGTCTTCATTGCTGTGCACTGGCTTTCGCTAATTGTGGGCTCCTCTTGGTTGCCGAGCTCGGGCTTCTTTCTCCTTTCTCATCGCAGTAGCTTCTCTTGTTGCAAAGCACAGGCTCTCTAGCGTGCAGGCTCGGTAGTTGTGGTGCACAAGCTTAGGTGCTACAGGGCATGTGAAGTCTTTTCAGACCGGGACTGAACCCAGGTGCCCTACATTAGTAGGTAGATTCTAAACCACTGGACTACTAGGGAAGTCCCTTAACTTTTTAAAGGCAATTAAAATCTGTTATGCCACTGAAATAGTTTTTTCTTAAACCTTTGAAACAAATACTGTCCTTCCAGCAGTTGAGGTTAGTAAAAAAATGTCTCCAGACAGAGCCTTAAACAGCTTAAGTAATACCTATTTGTCAGCACTGTCATATGTATCATTTTTCTAGACTATTAGTTATTACCCTAACTCATACCAGAACTTAAGTCTTCCCCCAAAATTCAAAGATTAACAGAGATAAAATGTATAAAAGTGTTTAAATTATGAAGGGATATATAAGTATTGGAGAAGGAAATGGCAGCCCACTCTAGAAATCTTGCCTGGGAAATCCCATGGACTGAGCCTGGTGGGCTGCAGTCCATTGAATCACAAAAGTGTTGGACACAAGTGATTGTGCACATAGAAGTTTTGACTAGAGAAGGGCATGGCAACGCACTCCAGTATTCTTGCCTGGACAACCCCATGGACAGAGGAGCCTGATGGGCTACAGTCCATGGGATCGCAGAGTCAGATGCAACTGAGCACGCATGCCTACAAGCAGTGGCTGTTTTTATTTATAATATATATACTAAAAACCAGTCACATTGCTAAGTAGTCATCTCTTAAGCTTAAACACAGTAAATTACAAATAGGGGGAAGAAAAACAAGACTGGCTTAAAAGATGAAGATCACAGAAGACGACAGAAGATAAAGCAAGGCACCTCAGAAATTGAAGATCAAACGTATAACATCCACAAGAGAGCCAATGGCATCATTTGGCCTGTGTAGGCCTCCTCTTACCATATGACTTGTAGATCAAGTAGTCAGTCCTTCAGAAGTCTTCCGATCACAACTATTTGCTAGCAGTTTGTAGCACTGTTCCTGCATGTTTTGTGTACCTTCCAAGAGCTCATCCTTCTTGTGATATGCCCAAGAAAACCCAATGAGAGAAAATTAAAATACTAATACTAAAGAATAAGATTTTGTCAGGATTGAGCTTTGAAGCAATACTATCATAGCTAATTTTTTTTTTTTTTTTTTTGGCCCATCTTGAAAGAGTTTTCACCCCTACAGGGCAGTATCTCCTCATTGAGAATGTGTAGACTAAGAATGCTGCCCTTCAGAATACATATGGTGGTTATATGCTTACTGGATCAGTGATACCATTAATCAGAATATAGTGGAAATTTTACCTTGGAAAATGCCCCACATCTAGGTTATATTACATAATAGTCACAACATTTTTGTTTTGTTCCTTTTAATATTGTTCCCCTATATCCATACCAGTGTTTGCTTTAGACTCCTTCAAAGGTTAAATGTGTCTCCAAAGACAAAGGTATGTCATAATTAAGGACACTGCAAAGAATACAGAAGGCTTCTAGCAGTACTGTAGAAAGATCAATTAATACCGAAGGTCAAAAGTTCAAGCTTCTCTATGCTTAGAACAGGCTATGTGATCGTGGGCAAGAAACATATCTATGTGAACCTTATTTTACTTGCCTTGAAAAGGTCAATTATGCTTAAAAACAATACGTGAAAGCAGTGTGTAAATTATGAAGAGGTATATAAATACTGGCTATTTTTATTAATGGTGATATATGCTAAAATCAAATCACATTGCTGAGTACTTACATGTTATACCTAAACAAACCTAGGTCAGAAATAAGGGGTGAGGGGAGAGATGGAGATGGCTTAAAAGATGAGAATCATATGTTGTTCAGAAGGCTATAGAAAATGATGTAATCTCTAACTAATAAAAATAAATGGGAAAAAAAAAAAGAAAATGATGTAATCTGCCCCAAAATTTAAGCGATCCAGCATATTGGATAAGGAAACTTCGAGTTTAGACCAACCTTCATGAATAGTCACAAAAAAACCTAAAACAGTTTGAACTTTGTTGTTTTTGTGGCCAGCAGTAGTAAATGTCATTAGCCTGTGTACAAGTTTGTTAAAACTTCTCTCCACAAAAAATTAGAGAACTATTTTGCTAAATTAACTGTGCCTAGGCCAATTATCTTTAATGTGAAGATCAAGATCATTTAAATTATGAGTGGCATTTATTCAGTAAAGGTAATGCCACCATGAGTAATCCTCTCATTCTTCACCACTGAACTCATTCCTAATCTTTGTAAATGAAGTGAAGTCGCTCAGTCGTGTCCAACTCTTTATGACCCCATGGACTGTAGCCTACCAGGCTCCTCTGTCCATGGGATTTTCCAGGCAATAGTACTGGAGTGGATTGCCATTTCCTTCTCCATGGATTCTTCCTGACCGCATTGTAGACAGACGCTTTACCGTCTGAGCCACCAGGGAAGTCCTAATCTCTGTAAACTGTATCATAATTATGTACTTAATCCAAAGGGGCCGACAATGAAGCATTCAGGAAAATCCATTGTTTTTGAAAATAAAAAAAAAAAATCTCACTTTACAAATTAATCTCAAAAGTGGAGGTCTGTAGTGATGTTTCCATATGAGTTGAACTCATTATAAATTACTTTAAATAATACATAAATATTAAGGTTCACTCTGAGGTATCCTATCTAGGTTTTTAATCCTGCTCCAGTGTCAAGCACATTTAAGTTGCAAGTACTTGAATATCTATTTTCAGGTTACTGCTTTCAAGAAATTATACATTATCTTTTCAGTACTATGGAGGTCTTTCTGTCAGTAAGCTTTCCAGTTATAAATCATGTTATTTCTTCTTTTACTATAGTTTTTTCTTTAATCCCAGATGAAGTACAGATAACTGAGGACAGTTTCTTTTTTTAATACAGGGTAGAGACTGAAGTTGGTGATTACATGTTCTGCTTTGACAATACATTCAGCACCATTTCTGAGAAGGTGATTTTCTTTGAATTAATCCTGGATAATATGGGAGAACAGGAGCAAGAACAAGAGGACTGGAAGAAATACATTACTGGCACAGATATGTTGGATATGAAACTGGAGGACATTCTGGTCAGTAGAGTTTTTTTTTTTTTTTAGAATAAAATAATAAAAAGTTACTAACATCTAGAGACTTTACCATGTGATAGGCACTGAGCTGGGTATTATCTACATTCTCTTACCCTAATCCTTACTTAAATCTATGAGGATTATCATCCCCATTTTCCAGTGAGGAAAATTACGGATTAGGGATATTTGGTAGTTGTCTCTGTGACAGAACCACAGAGAGGGAAACTCAAATTTGAACATATGCTCTTAACTACAGAACTCTCTTAGAATGTTCAGAGGATTATAATAATGATCTGCAGAATGCTTACACACAAAATTGAGTAATTTTTAAACTTAAAAATATATAGGAATTTTCCCCCACAACACAGATTTTATAATGTGAAATTTGGTATCACTTGATGAATTTGGGGAACAATGTTAACATAACTCAGCCAAACCTAGTAGTTATCAGAAACTACCACTACCCTCAGGAGTAAAAGCTTCTTTGCTTGAATTGCTTTATGCTTTATTTATCATAAACATGCATAAAGAAGTGTGCATGTTTATGAACCTGTTTACTAATGATTGTATTGCCAGTGTTGGGGAGAAAGGTCATTACCCTTCAGCCACTAGATGTAATAAACTGATAGAATTTATTCAGCAATATTTATAAACAGCATATATATGTTACAGAACTTTCTGTAGGAGAAATAATGTGATTATTCCAAATTTGAAACTGTAATGTATAGCCTCTAATACTCATAACCTGAACTGTTTTTTTATAGTGTGATATTTTGATCATGTTAAGGTTTCTTAAGAAAACAACTATCAAATTATAAAAGAAGAGACATATTGTAAGATCAGTTAGCTAAGTCGGAAAATTAAGTGATCATATCATATGTGTAATTCCTTAGTGACTGAGCCCTCTAAGCCTTGGTGTCCTATCACCCTTGGGAATACCACCTCTAGAGTTGTGAGGATGAAAGGTGATATGGCCTATCTATAAATGCTTAAAACAGCATCTAGCAAACAGTAAGTGTTAGTTTTCTTACCTTTAACATTGGTGTTAACTGTGAATACAAACTGAAGTGATTAAGTTTGATTACCATGAATATTTACCATGACAATTTTGATCTCATCATCTCATATGTATACTAAATTTAGTTGAATTTGAGATTCAGAAGAAGACTTAGTTATCATTAGTCCAGCTCCAAACTCCCTTTCCCCTTTTATTCCATTTTGTAGATAAGGAACTGGCTTAAAATGGAAATGATGCATCCATAGTCTTGCTACTATGGATAGAAATCCAATCTTTTTCCCACTCATTTTTAAAATCTCAATCATATTAATATATTCTTCCATTTTAAATTTATATTGCCAACAAGTGCAAAATACAAGGAGTTGTAAATTTTATTAGTATTAATACTTCACTGATTTCTCAAGAAATTGACTTCATTCACAATTAAAATGACCAGAAAGTTCAGATTTAAATAAGGCTTAAAATACTTAAGTCTTTGTTAAAGAAAAATAAAGTGTCTTTCAGAAGTTTTTCCATTTACACCCCCCCCATCAAAATTTTTTTATCACAGCAGCAAACTTGAATAAACAATTTTATACTTAGCTGTCATCATCTGATATTGAAAAGAACTATGCATGGTCTTTTCATTTGGGGATCTCAATCTCACATTTTTCTGGAAAATATTTGCATTACTAGATTACCATTGCTTTACAAATACACATATATGACAAATATTCTTTTTTTGTTTTTTTATACTTTGTGGTTTTGTAGGCTTAGCAGAGCACTGAAATTTTGTGTATATTTTTTGCTTTTAAATGAGGATTTTTAAGCAAGGTGACTATACAGGAAAATCTGTTTCTGTTATTTTCTTACTTATGCCATCAATACTTTGACATAATTTCTAATCTCAATTTTACCCTATATTCATGTAAACCTTTTATAGTTTTTAAATCACTTCTCCCCAGGACCCTACTAAAAAATTTTTTTTTCAGGTGTGCAACTCAGACTGCATCTTGGTAAGCTTGTTTTATGAATGTAATCTTGGAACATTTCCATAATAAAAACATTTCTTATGATTGTTAGGGCTAACAAGATCATGTATGTAAAATTACTGGCACTGCAGCACTCAAATGTATTTTCATATTTTTTTCAATTCCCAGTAGCTTTGTTCTCTTTTAGAATTATAAACAATAATTTAAATATATCATGAGAACTGTTACCAAACATTATGTAGTAAAGATATTTAGTTAAATCTTAAATAGTACCCACCCCTTAATTAAAACTGTTTTTGGATATTAAACTAGTAAGAGTACAGTGAAGCACAGTTTTAAATTAAAATTACTGAGCATTCTTTTACAATAAAATTATTTTATTTATCTCCAGGAGTCTATCTACAGGATCAAGTCCAGACTAAGCAAAAGTGGTCACATCCAAACTCTGCTTAGAGCATTTGAAGCACGTGACCGAAACATACAAGAAAGCAACTTTGATAGAGTCAATTTCTGGTCTATGGTTAATTTAGTGGTAATGGTTGTAGTGTCAGCCATTCAAGTGTATATGCTGAAGAGTCTATTTGAAGATAAGAGGAAAAGTAGAACTTAAAATTCCAGACTACTTAACATTCACAAAAAGGGACAGAAAAACGCAATAAACTGTTACAGTCAAGACCATTAACAGTCTTTTCCAAAACATTTTCAGGCATTACCATTAAGTGTGAAATAAGTATAATTTTAATATGAAAGGAAAGGCTTAACTTTCATCTGTGCAAGTGATCTTATTGTTCTGATTATACTTAAGTGTATAGCAAATATTGTGCAGGTATAAATGAATGAAGCCATGTTATTAACAGTAGTTTCCTACGTTTGCAAAAGTTTTGCAAATGTCATTAGGTGATTTAAATAAATGAACTTTGGGCCTAAATGTAACACTGAACAATGTTTTTAGAAGATTGTTACCCAGAAATTTCTTTGTAAATGTGGCAATTACAAATTAATTGTAGTTTTTCAGTATATCAAGTTATAAATCATATGAGAATTATCTAATCATGGATATCTTTAGAAAACAAAAACTCAACTTTTCTCTTTTTATATATGTATCTCCTAAATGTATATAGAAACATAGCTGTGAAAAAAAGGTATGTCGGATGTTTTATAACCAAATATGTTAAAATATTAACAAAAAGTATTAGTTTTATATACCTAGCCTACATTCCCAAAAGCTGACTTTTGAATAGTTCTTAAAAATACTAAGAACATAGTTATCAAAAATAGGACAGATTTTCTCTTTGAAGTGAATAAAGATCGTTCCCAATTTCTGTAAGGATATATTCTCTCTAATAGTTAACTAAGATATAGGATTTTTAAATTAAATGAGGGGAAATCATTTTATTTTTATATTATCAACAGTGTTATGTTAGTTTTAATGTATTTACTGACTTGGATGATACATTTAATACCAGCAGTTGTTTAGGAAATATTGCTGAAAGAATTTGGACCTAGTGTTAAGTAAATATCTTGAGTTCTCGAAAATCATTAAAAAAACAACAACAATAAAGTCAATATAAACGAATTTAGGGAAATGAGAATATCTCATCAAAATAAAGTTTACTTAAACTATAAGTATCTAGAATCTGGCTTATCATAATCACTCAATCCTAATATAAACCACAAGATTAATTTCCAGTTAATTGTTAGAAAAGTGTAGGTTTTATTTTTTAACAATTGTTTTAAATTATCATTTATAAGTATTTAGGTACAATATGGTATAAGCCCTACTAGTATAAATATTTATTAGTTTTTATTGTAATTTTCATAAAATGACCTTTCTGATCACTTTATTTATATTGGCATTCAAATAAGAATTGAAAACCTACAAAAGTTTCAACATCAATATGTGAACAACCCTATAGCCTTTGCCATCATGTCTTAATCAGGTACTAGTATCTTAATAATTAAATAGAATTTTTAGCTTATTCCCACTTGTAATATTGTTTGTCATGTAAGAGTTAAAAACAATCAACTGATAGGTCCTGAGTACAGTTGGTTAGTACTGCTGAATTCTTAATAAGCAATAATGATATCCAGAGACAATGATGGTTTCATCTATAATTTATACTCAAGTGGTACAAAATGAGAGATACTTCCCTCCATCTTATATAATAATTTCCTCTATTCTTAGATTTCCCAACTCTGAGGCTTTTTTAAAATGAGATAAATGCCATGTTTAGGTGATTACCTTAATTGGCTAAGAAAATGCTTTTAAGTGTACAGGAGTAGCCCTTATAACATGCACAACAAGGGCCAGTAAGATTTTTGCTTGGAAGAGCTCTTTTTCCTCTTCTGATAAACTAATAATGAGAAGCGAATGTAAAGTACTATAGTAATAAAACAGTACAGATTTAAACTACTGCATCTTTTCTATAAAACTGTGATTAAGAATTCTACCTCTTATGTGTGGCTGGTCACTGTACTTACTGTACTGCTTCTATACCTAACAATGGATTTGTTACATCATGTACATTTGATTTGTGCCACTGACTTTTTTAAACCTTTGATTCAGTAACTTCCTATTATATAATAATGGCCTTATTTAGAAAACAAAGAATTTAGGGATATTGAGGACAATTTTATTTTTATAGACAAAGTGAAAACAGATTATTTAAGAAGCATGTTACCTGTATTAACCATAGAGTAAAATTTGTATGCAAAGAACTAAATTCTTTAATATTTCTAAAAGCTTATTGCTTATCTGCATCATATGGTTTTAGTGTATTCAATTTTGACATTAAAATTATGCTAAAAGTGAAAAAAAAATAATACTAAAAGTGAGTAAGCTGTCACTTGGCAGCTTATTTTATCATTACTTTTTTAGTCATGTAAACTTCTAAAATACTAGAATACTTAACTAAGGCCTAGAGTTTCACTATGATTTGCATTTGGATCCTTAATGATTGGTTTTCTTTTATGTGAATGTCAAGTTAATAGATAAGTGGTTGAAATAGTATTGAAATAAAGTATAAACTGAAATGTCATTTTATTTTAGGTATGTTTATCCTTCTCAAGTATTGTTATGTCCTAAAATTGACAAAAATTGAATACCTATAATTGTATGCTTCCCCAAAGAAAATTTGTTTATCTGAAATTTTCAAAGATATTGATTCAGCATGTAATGGGTTTTCAGTTGAAATGTAATAATGCACAATTAGTGTTGCTCAAATGCTTTATACTTATGAACAGACACAGCCATATTAAATGAGCATTGAATACTGTGCTGAGTGTATACAATAAAAATTACAATCAAGGGATGTCTTATTTATCTACCAGTCATTATAGATGTTGTCTAACCTTTAAAGCCTTCATTGATTTCATCTTAAAAGTGTGCTCTCTACACTTTTTATTGTGAATCCTTCTACCCTTCAATAGAGTTATTTGTATATTTACTTGTTCTGCTGCTGCCCAAACATGTATTGTAACTAAGAAGTACTCAGAGGTACTCAAAGGTACTCAAAATAGGCAGAGATTCAGTTCTGAGAGTCTGGAATGCTAAGTAAGTACTCAGGGAGCTTTTTCCACTCTTCTACCCTATTATAAAAATTGATTGAATAGGATTGGAATTTGGTTCCAGAATCTTAATTAACACAATTTGGGATTCTGGTGTCTACATTATCCTTGGACCATTTGCTAACTGGGTGAACTTGGGAAATCAAGACTCTAGTTTCAGGACTTAAGTGGTTAAAACTGTGCTCCAAGTGCAGGGGCCTGGGTTCAATACATGGTCAGGGAACTGAGATCCCACATGCTGCAACTAAATAAATGGAGAAACATACGATATTCAAAGGTGAGAAGGCTCAACATAATAAAAAAAGTCAGTTCTTCCTAAACTGATCTATAAATTTAAAATAATTCTCATAAAAACCTAGCAAATTTTTTTGTAGACAAGGACAAACATACTCTAAAATTTATACAGAATGGAAAGGCAAAAGAAAAAGATAGTTTAGAAAAAGACTAAAGTCTACATATATTGCCACTTAAATCAACACAGTGTGGTACCGGTGGAGGGATAGACACATAGATCAATAGAAGAGACATTTTAGAATACACCAAAACAAGTCAAACTGATTTTTAACAAAGGTACAAAAGTAATTCAATAGGGGAAAAGACAGCCTTTTAAACAAAAGGTGCTGGAGCAACTGGGTCAAACATAGGTGAAAACATGAACTTAAATGTTAAAGCTATAAAGCTTTTTGGAAAAAAAAACTATGAGAAAAATCTTTAAGACTTAGGGCTAAACAAAGAGGTTCTATACTTGACACCTACTATATGACCCATAAAAGGAAAAACTGGACCTCATCCAAAATAAAACCTTTGCTCCATGATCTACTGAGGGGATGAAAAAATAAGCTACTGAAGGGGAAAAATATATGCAAATCACATATCCAAAAGACTAGAATATACAAAGAATTCGCAAAGTCCAACAGTTAAAAAACTAAAACAGTTCAGTTAGAAAATGGGCAAACAACATGAATGGACATTTCACTGAAAATATATGGATGGCAAATAAGCACATGAAAATAATAATCATTAGCCATTAGGATAATTCCAGTTAAAACCACAATGAGATATCACTATACCAGAAAGGCTAAAATTTAAAAAATAGTTACAACACCAAATGCTGGGCAAGGATGCAAGAGAAATTAACTCACACTCTTACACTGCTAAGTGGGATATAAGATGGTAGAGTCACTCCAAAAATATTTGGGCCATTTCTTTTAAAACTACACATGCGCTTACCATGCAGCCCAGCATTTATACTCCTGGACACACCCGTGATAAATGAAACCATATGCTCAAATAAAAACCTGTATACATATACACAGCAACTTCATTTGTAATAGTTCCAAACTGGAAATAACCCAAATTTTCTTTTAAAGAGTGAACAGTTAAATGTTGGTACATCCATACGATGGAATACTGAGCAGCAATAAACAGAATAAACTATTGATACATGCAATAATTTGGGTAGACTTCAAAGGAATTACGGTTGGGGGAAAAAAATCATAAAGCGTCACACACTGTAAGGAGGAAAGAAAGAGCTAAAACTGGCAGCTTTGTGGTGGAACAATTCAGTCTTGATAGTAACAGTTACACAAATCTAACACAATATAAAATTCATAGGTATATATACACATACAAATGAGTGTTTGTAAAACTGGTGAAATGTAAATAAACTCTGGATTGTACCCATGTCAATTTTCCTGTACTAAATATTGTACCATTATGCTAACATCACCATTGGAATATATGAAAAGTACACAGGAACTAACTCCCTTTTTTTTTTTGCAATCTCTTGTGAATCTATAATTATTTCAAAATAAAAACTTAAAAATGAGGCAGGTGAATTTTATACTGCAACAGACATTACTGTGTTGTAATATACATATTTCTGAATGAGCCCAGGAATAAATAAAATAATTTAACTTCATGCTAAATAAAACCAAAATATTCTCATTGAAAAAAATCAAACTGTCAGGACTCTCCTGGTGGTTCAGTGGCTAGTGCTTCACGCTCCCAATGCAGGGGGCCCAGATTCAATCCCTGGTCAGGGAACTAGATCCCACATGACACAACTAAGAGTTTGCAAGCTGTAACTAAGACCTGGCACAGACAAATAAATGTGTATTTTTTACAAAAAAAGAAAATACAAGTGTCATTTTAGGTATCGGTACAGTTCTTAAAGAATTTAACTATCAGCAGAAAGGTGAAATACTATATTCTTCAAGGCTCTTAAGGAATTGAGCCTGATCATTTTGACATGAAATATGAAAGAAGAGTCGAAAGTCAACCTTTTTCCTTTTTAGAGCAATTCCATTTTCTAAATTCTGTCCAGAAGTTATACAATGTTCAGTTCAGTTCAGATCGTTCACTCAGTTGTGTCCGACTCCCTGAGACCCCATGAACTGCAGCACGCCAGGCTTCCCTATTCATCACTAACTGCCAAAGCTTGCTCAAACTCATGTCCATGGAGTCAGTGATGCCATCCAACCATCTCATCCTCTGCCATCCCCTTCTCCTCCTGCCTTCAGTCTTTCCCAGCATCAGGGTCTTTTCTAAGGAGTCAGTTCTTCATATCAGGTGGCCAAAGTACTGCAGCTTCAGCTTTCAATGAATATTCAGGACTTAATTTCTTTTAGGATTGACTGGTTTGCTCTTCTTGCAGTTGAAGGGACTCAAGAATCTTCTTCAACACCACAGTTCAAAAGCATCAATTCTTCGGCACTCAGTCTTCTTTTATGGTTCAACTCTCACATCCAGACATGCCGCTGCTGATACTGCTGCTGCTGCAGCTAAGTCGAGTCAGTCATGTCCGACTCTGTACGACCCCACAGATGGCAGCCCACTAGGCTCCCCCATCCCTGGGATTCTCCAGGCAGGAATACTGGATGGGTTGTCATTTCCTTCTCCAACGCATGAAAAGTGAAGTTGCTCAGTCGTGACTGCTGAAAGAACATAGCTTTGACTAGAGGGACCTCTGTTGCCAAAGTAAAGCAGTATTTGCTGCTTCTTAAAATGCTGTCTAGATTGGTCATATCTTTTCTTCCAAAATCTTCCCTGGTGGCTCAGATGGTAAAAGCATCTGCCTACAATGCAGGAGACCCAGGTTCAATCCCTGGGTTGGGAAGATCTCCTGGAGAAGGAAATGGCAATCCACTCCAATATTCTTGCCTGGAAAAATCCCATGGATGGAGGAGCCTGCTAGGCTACAGTCCATGGGGTTGCAAAGAGTCGGACACGACTGAGCAACTTCACTTCACTTTCTTCCAAGAAGCAAGTGTCTTTTAATTTCATGGCTTGCAGTCACCATCTGCAGTGATTTTGAAGCCCAAGAAAATAAAGTCTGTCACTGTTTTCATTGCTTCCCCATCTATCTGCCATGAAGTGATGCGACTGGATGCCATGTTCTTCATTTTTTGAATGCTGAGTTTTAAGCCAGCTTTTTCACTCACCTCTTTCACATTCATCAAGAGGCTCTTTAGTTCCTCTTTGCTTTCTGCCGTAAGGGTGGTGTCATCTGCATATCTGAGGTTATTGATCTTTCTCCCAGCAGTCTTGATTCCAGCTTGTGCTTCATCCAGTAGAAGTTATACCATGATGAAGTGGTTATTAGAATACTGCCAATGGAAAGATTACACCTAATTCCCCAATGCTGTAAAACCATCATTCTGTGAATTTCAACAGAGAAGCTATCTTTGACTTTTTCAAATGCTAACTTTTCAATGGACAATCATGGCAGAACACTGGATAACTGTACACAGTAGATAACTGATCCCTTCATCTATAAAGGTAACAACCCCTTTTTTTGCTATAAAGGATCTTAGAATTAAGGCATATACAGGACATGCAACTAGGAAGCAACGTATTAATTATAATACAAACCACTGTAAACTCTTAAATGCCAAAGGGACATAAATTTAAAAATAAATATGCTGGCAATTACTCCTTTATTACCCCTTGGACAAAAGGAGCAAAGAATGAAAAAGGTCACTTTGTTTAGAATGAGGAACCAGTAAAGGCTAGAAAACATTATGGAGATGGCCCATACTCTCCCCTTTGATAATATATTTCCTTTCAGGCACCCAAGGGAAGACAGAATGCAATACTTTTGTAGCCCTATAGCCTTCAATACAAGTTACACTCATTACAATACACTCAAGACAGTTTAGTATCTTAGAATAAGAAAAATTTGAGCATTACTGTAACTAGAACTTTGGAGAATAGAAAAGCAAAGAATCTGTCTTTAGGAGTTCCTTGGTGGTGCAGTGGATAAGAATCTACCTGTCAATAGACAGGGGACATGGGTTTGATCCTTGATCCAGGAAGACTTCACATGCAACTAAGCCCACATGCCAAAACTACTGGAGCCCTCAAGCCCTAGAGCCACACACAGCAACTACTGAGCCCATAGGCCTAGAGCCTGTGCTCTGCAATGAGAAGGCTTTGCAATGAGAAGTCCATGTACACAACGAAGAATAGCCCCCATTCACCCCAACTACAGAAAGCCCACTCACAGCACCAAAGGCCCAGTGCAACCAAAAAAATAATAAATTTTTTAAAAAAATCTGCCTTTAAAGAGCTGATGGTTCACCTGGAGGGAAGAGTAGTTAGTATTCAGGAAAGATTAGCTACTAATTTTTCCAAGTCAGCTTGTCATTCATTGCTCCAAGAAGTTCTGCCAAATCTTAAACTTACGGTGTATCCCTCTTATGTGTGTGACCCTTACTGGGTACCCCTCTCTGGTGTAACCCTC